ACACACACACACACACACACACACACACACACACACACACACACACAAAGCACTGTTCATGTAGGTTATGAAAGCATCAGTCTACCGAACAATCCCACCTTCAGGTTCATTTGCTGGCTGCTCTGGAGCTTTTTATCATCACACAGGACTTAACGAAACTCTGTCTGATTGTCTGTCCTTTCTAAGTTCTTGAGATGGCCTCAGGTCTGAGAGTAAAAATAGAACCTTGATTAAATAGTGTTAATGATCTGACTTTCTCTTCTGCTCCAGCCTCATCTTGAGCTCTGAAACCAGCGCTTTGCTCACAGAGTCCTGCCTGGTCACCACTGCCTTCTTTAGAGGTTTGGGTGCCACGGTTGCTGAGACTGTGGGAATGACCCACTGCCTCTCCACCGGGAGGCAAAAAGCTGGTGGAGGTGCACAGGGTGGCGGTGGCGGTGGCCACTGTCTCAAAATCCTGCCAGCATTGTTGTTGTGGTTGACATTCTCCACGATTACCTCTGGTTCCCGCTCTTCCTCTTTAACCTTAAATTTCTGTTCGTTCCTTTCGGGTCTCTTTAAGGGGTTTTTAAAAAGCCAGGTGTGCTGTGTCTTCGGCCTTCTCTTCACACGGCGATTGGGCAGGATCCGGTTGGACTTTTTGTTGCGCATGAATGTTGCGGTGGAGATGAGGACTGTCACTATGATCATGAGACTAATGATACCAGCAAGCATACCTAGGATTTGCAAAGGCTTGTTTCTATTCTGCATTAAAAATGATCCCAAAGGCCCCCCTTTGAGTTGAGTCTGTAAAAGAGCACAGGGAGAATTCACATCCATGGGAGTGAAGTCATACTCTGTCACACAAAAATATGTCCTGTGTATGTTTTGTTGCACTTTGTGCGTTCATCATTTGGTAAAAGATGTGTTAAATAAGTCTTTAGTGCCATTATAATTTACACAGACATAAAGAAAAACAAAGTCGCTTATTTATTAAATGTAGTTTCCTTGATGGACGATTGATTTTGTTGCCTGCTTCACTAATTTTTATTAAATTAGTATTCTGCTCTTCTTATATTTTGTCAAGACAAGATCAGAGAGGTTGTCTGGGAAACTAGTGGAGACCATTCAGCATCAGAATCATAATCAGCTTTATTGACCAAGTATGTGCACACATACAACGAACTGGGCTCCGGCTATTTCTCTGAAAATGAGAATTTATGTGTGACCCAAACACAAACGTAAATAATTTGTTTAATTTGGTCGTAGCGTCATATTAAACCAGAAATACAGGTAAAACAAATTGTATAGGATCATTTATATTGTGCTCCTGTACTCTTTTACAGACACAGCCTTGTTCTGAAATAAAATCCTCTGGACACGGATTGCTACAAATTCTTGGTACCACATACTAATAACAATAGTATTGCTGTGCTGATGAGCTCAAGGCGAGCTTCCTTTATGGCACAGGCCTCCTTATAATCTTTCTGATCTTGCCCTGAGGTTGCACACGCGTCTTTTTCAAAGAGCTGCAGTACATAACAGTTGAAATGAAGACTGTCAGTGAAATGGCAAAGCTGACAATGGTCAAACAAATCCCAAACACTGTCCCTGGACGTTTCCTTAGGCCCATGAAGTATGAGAAAAATCTGGATTTGATCTGTAAACATGACAATTGCATTTGTGTGAGATTCAGTTTTGTATATCACTATACATTCTCAAATTAAAATATTATGGTATAGTACTTTGTATAGTGTTTCAAATTTGATGAATGTGCATAAAAATAATAATAAATTGTGGATCTTCTGTTTGATATCATGCTGTTAACATCGCAACTGTGCAGGATGATTTATACAATGTCGATGCATAAAAAACTGGTATCTTAGTGGGTTTATCGTGAAGGCCTCACATAGATTTCATTGTCATATTGCTGGTCTTTTGCTTTGTTTCAACTTACAGCTTCAGTGATGTCAATCTTGACGACGGCGGTGGTGGTGAGGGATGGATGGCCTCGGTCACGGGCCTGCACCACCAGCGACCAGGTGCAGTCTCTCTTCTTGGTGATGTTCTGAATGATGGCCATTGACTTGATGTAGGACTTCAGCATGATCTCGCCTGTGTCAGCGTTAATGTCAAAGATATTGTTTTCTGGCTCAGCTTTCATGATGGCATACTCGATAACGTTGTTGGGGACCTCTGCATCATCATCCACAGCCTGCAGACAGTAAGGGTACTGAAAATATTCACTTTTACCAAGTTTCATTTTGTTTAAAGAGAGCTGCATACCTCTATTTTCACTGGAGCTCCAATCACCATGGTCTTCTCAAGGAAGTTATCATAGAAAGCAGGAGAGTGGTCATTCAAGTCCAACACAGTCACAAAGACTTCAGCCAGGTTGTATTTCCCCTCTGTGTCCTCTGCCTTCACATAGAAGTTATACTTGGACCTGACCTCAGCATCCAGGCTTGCCCACGGCTGTGTGTAGATGATCCCAGAGTCAGGTTTGATCAGGAACCTGTGTACAGTGATGAGTCTTCTGTAAACTGACTTCTTTGGACAATGGATATCAAGACACCATGCACCATGAACATTTTATACGTATTTGTTATTGTAGATTATATGATACTTTCCCCCCTAAACAATTAGTCATCTGTTTTAAGCACTTGGATTGCACTTCTTGCTAAATCTTGGCACTGATTTTGTCACACAGACTGTGAGTTTTGGAGCTTTGAAATATAATTGTGATGTAGGCTGCTAATACCCCAACCTCAAATCTTTAGAGTGTCATTTAGGTCCAGAAAAAACCTACCTCATTTTTAAATGAGCTAACACAAAATCAATCTTATTACTTCTAGAAGCCAGATTGTTTTCGTCAGCTGGTCCTGTGACCTTATAAACGCATACATTTGGTGCATTATGAAGTGATTGTTATTCAATGGAATGATTTTGTGATTAAGAGTATAGAGCATGCAGCAACAGCAAGTCTTAGCATGGCTAGCTTAACGTTGTATAAAGACTGGAACTAGTTGAAGTCGTGCAGATGCTTTTCGGAGTCTTGTCTCACTGAAAGGTTGCCCTAATTTCTCGTAAAGCCAAAAATTTTCATTAAATTGAACGGACAAGATAAAACAAGTTTGAAAGGTGACTTCAGAGGTGTTAGTGAGCGAGGTCAAACTCTGGTTCTCAAACTCTCGGGGTAGGCTCAACTGATGGAGCACAGAACCACTCCTGATGAGGTGAGGACAACCAGGGGAAAAATATGAAATTGAAATAAGAAGAATACTTTTTGGGGGAAACAAACAAGCAGGATGCTGTTATGGAGACCTCATATTACTAAACTTCAACCTATAGTGCCAGATTTTCTTTAATCATGCGATGCTGGAGAGATAAGATACAGTAAAAGATACAGATTGTTTCACAAACTGACTTGTTTAGCTGTCCTACAAGGTTCCAGCACAAGTTAGTCAGAAGCAAAGAGCAGTCTATTTTCTCCTCCAATCCCATTAAAGGATTATCGCAGACCGAGGGCGGGCAGGCAAAAGGACTGTCTACTCTTGTGTACACTTAAGCGCTCAACCACAGAGTGTAAAACAGTGTAAAGTCTGCAATATGAACTGCTTTATTCTTTCAGATGCAGAGCCCAAGCATGTGGTCATGCATTGCTTCATAACCTTAAAATCAAAGCAGCAATTTCGAGAATAATCTGAGGTGACACAGTTTCAAAATCAGTTTGACTAAACAAGCACGCACTAAGCTAAATCTCTCTCCTCTGCTTATTTTGGAAATCCTTGTCCTTGATGCCTTGATGTGACATCACATATCTCTTCTAATTTATTGCTACAGAGGGGTGTAAAAATACTTTCCCCTTGCATTTGAACAACCAAAGTAGATGGTAACCTCATTCCTACCAGCATGTGCCTGTGGGTTTGTGTTGCAGCTGAACAGACAGTGAACATAAATATAAACCCAAAAAATAAAAGATCCCAATGGCAAGATGTGTCTGCATTTGAAGTGCGAGTAAATGCAAGTTGTGGATATACAGTACTCTGTAATATCAGAAAGAACTGTGCAGTCTTGGATCTGGAGAATGGATTTCTGCTGGGAAACTAATAAAAAGTGAAAAACACCAGTAAATCCTCTGGGCTACGGTGCTTAGGGGAAATAAAAAGAATCAAGTCGTGATATGAAAAACTAGTGTGCTCTTACATATCTGTCCAGCTTTCAGGCAGATGTGTTTTTGCTACAGTGTATGCTTACAGTGTAGTGCATTATTTGAAGAGATTTACTTTATTTGAGCTTCTTGACACAGTTGTACATTAGATATAATGTTTATTCTATAAAATTTGGTTTCACTACTGGAAAAAAACCCACATGTCAGGTGTTGATTACTATATTTTACTATAGTATAGTAAAATATATTCTTTTTTCTTTGTACTATAAACATTAAAAATATTCTTCTGTGATCACTATCCAAAGACTGATGAATAGACACAGTGAAGGCGACAAAGTTATTTAGTTATTCTCTGAACATTTAAGACATATATTCTAAAATCAAATTAATGCTGTTTCTACACCAATGCATGTGAATATGTGGAGGTCTTGTGGAGATGTTGCAGAGATGTTACATCTGAATATGTGAATTGAACAACAGCATTTAAAAGGACTCATTTTTACTGTGTCCTACTGGCAAAACATAAAGCTCATTTATTGCACTTACAGCTCAGCCCCTGATCCATAGATAGAGTACTTCACTTCACCCCAAGGTCCTGAGTCTGGGTCAAATGCCTGTAGACAGGTATCAATGAATCAATCAGTCAATACAATCTTTATTTGGAACATAAAGTAAAGACAAAATCAGCAAAAGCCATCATATTCACATGGGAAAAACAAAAACAAAATTCACGTTCACACAGATTCATGTTATTGTAATATGTTTATGCACTGAGTAATTATACTTTCATTAATTATTTGTCATTATTTAATAATTATTTAACTACTCTAGTATTGTAACAGTATTATTTTTAATATGTCATTAGATACAAATATCCATCCATCCATCTATCCGAGCAACCACAGGGCGAGAAGGAGGGTCCATGCAATTATCAATATTTAATGTACAACCTAATAGACATTTAGCACCCTGTCTCATCCATATAGTGCCGTGTAAGTGAATGACAGAGCTATGATAGATCATAGAGAATAAAATGTCATGTTTGGCTGTAGATTAAACACCTGAGTTCAACGCAAGTTTTACAGCAGTGAGTTTAATATGTTGCAGCACCTATCCTACACTAAACTGTCATTCAAGCACGGCCAATGACCAGTACTGTGTTGACTTGCCTTTTCTCTTTCCTCTTTCTTTTTAGTTTGCATCTGTTTTCATCATGAATGAAGAAAAATCTGCACTTTTGTGTTGTCTGCCAGCATGGACTCAGTAAACTGAATGAAAATGTGCTCAACTGGAACATGATGTTTCAGGGGTCAGCTATAAAAAGACAGATTTTTGATGTCATAGGAACATCATCATCATCATCGGCTAATCTTTGTGTCTGTAGCTGCTGGGATGCCTGTTCACTGTCTCTATGCGTCCAAGGTCAGTTGTTGGCTGCTCTTCTATCTGATTGAAATTGCCTGGGATCAAGGCAACAAACCCCTGTGGTGTTCACGCAAGGTCAGGATTTAATAATGAGCCTCCCTGTTGCTTTGAGCCCCTGTGGGGCTGACAGGAACAGACAAGGGCAAAAGACGATGTGAGCCAAGTATCAATCAAATCGTCATGTCCTTAAGTGTTCCTTTTACTTCAGTACATATTTTGATGCTGTAGAGGCATGTGCTGCTAAGCATCAGAGAAAAAAAACATGTCTGTGAATTTGGTGTTACACAACAAAATGAAAGTGATAGCCATCTGGCAGCTTACGTCGCCTAGCTTTTATCTACATGTTTTCACATATTATCCCAACCCTCCCCGCTCAAAAAGTCTACATTTAGGGGATTAATAGCCCTCTTGGGCATTTTGTTAAAATCAGCATTCCTCTTTAGCTCTGAGTGACGTACATTGGTGATGGCATGTATTTTTAGACAGGATGAAGGGACTGGCTCACCGTGACTGTGACCACATTGGAGCCACCGGGTGAATTTTCTGGAATTCTGGCAATGTAGTAATCTGAAGAGAATTTGGGAGCGTTGTCATTGGTGTCCAGGAGATGAATGACGATGTCCGCTGTAGCGCTGAATTTCTCTGGTGTGTCGATCTCAACCGCAAGGAGCTGAGGAAGAAAAAAATATTAGAAATATACATGCATTTTTCAAACCTAATTTTAATCTACTGTAGTGCATGTATATTTTGGCATGCTAGTGTAAATAATTTACCTTGTATGTTAGAAAGTGGTATTTCTCATAGTCCATGGCAGCAGAGTCTTCTACTAAGATTGTGACTTGGGCCTCGTTGAGTACAGTCTGAGGGACAACTCGCAGCATTCTTCCTGGTCCAATCAGTCTCAGGTTGAATTTAGCATTTGCACCCTGCAAAAGCAAAAACACATAATTATCATATCAGATCTATGCTTCATATGCATAAATCTGTTAATACATAATAATCTGCATTATTTTCAGAGCTAAAAAAAAGCAGGCATGTAGTAAAGTCTCTTATAAAAGTGATGAGTAGCAGCAATAATATTCTGGCTCACACATAAAGATACTGTCTGACGCTGCAACATTATTATCAGAAAATATATTTAGTGAAAATCAGTCATATGGCTCGTAAAGTACACAGAGCTGAAAACACAAAGGCACTTGCGTAAGCTGGCAAATGGCACAGAAAGCACCTTTTAATTGTGTTGGATTCCTTTCAAACTCATGCAATTTTAGAAGGATTGACTGTGATAATGGCAGGATTAAAGTCATTATGAGGACAGAAACACAGACTCTGTCCTGAACACTATGCTGTGCTATGATGCTATGATTGATGTTGACTAAACCAGTTACTCATTAGATAACATTATAATTATTACAGAAAACAAATGCTATTACAAAAAAACCAGTCATTGTTACTCTTGGCTGGCTAAGGCACCTTTGAAAGACAACCATGAGTGGTACGAGTGTTGAAAAATACCTGCAAAAAAGGAAAACTTGAAGCTTGTCATAGTCAGTGTAGAGAAAATAAGACAACAAAGGTGTTCACCTGATCAGAGTCATTGACGGTGATTTTCAGCCCCCGGAGGATCTCTCCCTCGGGTGGATGCTCATACATGGTCAACTCAAACGTGCTCTGTGGGCCGTCCTCTCCGTAGAAAGTAGGCGGATTGTTATTTAGGTCCACAACACGGATCACCACTGTGGTGACCTCATAGTCCATGAGTCTGCCTTCGGGACTTACTTCTGAAGCCTGAACAGATGGAGTAAAAGTCAAGGTATATTTATCACTCTTAGAATCAGAGACATGGGCCGATTGGGTATTTTATCTACCAATTTTACTACCATGTTTTCCCCCCTAATTTTCCTTGTAGATTCATTGAGCCACTGTTCGGCTAATCAATGCACTTTGATTAGGTCTATAAACATTTTTGTGTGGACACAAGCACTTGTAAATAAAGTCAGAAGTACAAAAAAATCCCAAAGTGTTTGTTTACATGCAAGTCATTAGAAAATAGCTGTCTGAGAAGATCAGGCTTTGATTTATAAAGCAGTTATTATATTAAAATAATATAGGAGAGAATGTATGCAAAACAGAGTTGGTGACTGAACAGCAACTTACCCTGACTTTAATGTTGAAGATTTCTCTCTTCAGATAAATGGGGAGAGTCAACAGGGTGATGCAACCACTTGTTTTATTGATACTAAAAACACCGTCATCACCTGGTGAAAAATATTAGATGGATGAACCTTTATATAAATATTTCTCCCTTCATTTTAAGATGATTGTAGCTTCCTTTGACAAAATGGCTCACCATCATCGAATGAATAACGGACTGGATTTGGGTTCCCCACATCACCATCTCGGGCCTCAACAGTGAATATTTCAGATCCCTAGAGAGAGAGTAAAGTAGAAAGATTTTGCATTTAATAAATTGGTGGTGGCATGCATCTATAAAAAATAGATCTTCAAAAGCCTCTTTTTGAACCACCATGTGTCTGGTGCAGTTAGTCACAACAAATCGCCAAAATCTAACCTTCTCCCTGTTTTCAAAGGCTCATTTAAATGTCACACTCCTAATTATTCTCATTTGGATGAAAGTCAGACTGTGTAAACTTGCTGTGATGAGCTACTGCTGTGACATTTTGCAATAGTGATAAAGCAGTGAAATGCCAGTAATTAAAGCTATGTGATGTGATGTGCCTTGGGTTTTGGGCTCTTTTGTTAGTTATTATTTATACTGCCAATATAAAACCTAATCATTCCACATGATGCCGCTTTATGACAGCAGTGTAACTAAGTTGTCCTAAACGAAAAAGAAAATGACAAAAATGTAGCCATTGTGCTAACTGCCACGTATTTCAACTCTAGACTAAAATCAGTGCATAAAATCACCGGGGGAACGTTTTCATACTCACTGGCACTGAGATTTCGTAAACATAGCCAAAGTAGGGAGTCCCAATGAAAGATGGCAGAGTGTCTTGAGCATCAATCACATTGATTGTCAGGGTAGCAGAGGAGGACATAAACTGCTCCTTCCCATTAAAGCTACCACCACCATCCTAGAACAAAAGTAATAACAGTTTAAATCTGCATTTTTAAATGTAAGTCTCCTAGATCAAGAAATTGCTAATTTACATGTTCCTCTGCTATAATCATGTTTCATGATTTTATGTTCATCTTTGAGTATAATACACCAAGCACCTTTGCAATAACAATGACAAAGTGTGTCTTTGCTTTCTCATAGTCCAGCATTTCTCCAGATTTGACACGAAGGACTCCACTGTGTCTGTCGATGGCAAACAGAGTGGACTGAGCACTCTGCAAAGAAAATGGAACAAATGCATGATTTTAAAAGCACACGCAGAAACACAAATAAGGGGTTACATGAGCAAAAGCCTGTCACTGGCTCTCTTAAAACCCTTTAACAAACACTCACATGAAAAGTGGTCAGGTGGCAGAATAAAACCATACAAAAGCTCCTTGAAATAAGCCAATTCCAATATCCAGTCTTTGCCCATCTGGATGTAAAGTACCCATATGCTCAAGGACATAGCAGGCAGGTGAAAGCTGTTGTGTCCAGATGTGGACTGCCTGTCTCCTACTTCCAAGCCAGCTGTTCTTTGTTCTTAATAGTCCAAAGTGCAAACTAACATGTCGCTGAGCCACCCCTCGCCGACACAAATGTAACTGCCATTTAATCCCCATCTTCATAACTACACCAACATATTCAGGCACAAATACACAGTAACACAGGAAAATATATGTAACCCCTGCTTAGTACAACTATACGTCATCAGTGTTGAAAGCAGATTATTGAAAAAACTTAGCGGTTTACAATTTTACCTAACAAGTAAAAGAGCCCCGGGAGGTGACACAAATCCCTTTGGGGTTGTGTAAGGAAGGGCGTGTGAGTGGGCAATATTTTCCCACTGCAAAGTGATACCTGTAGGTAGTAGGTGACCGAGCCCCCTGAGCCTGTGTCTCTGTCCACTGCCTCAACTTTGTAGATACTGCTTCCAGACTCTGTTGTCTACAATGTACAAGAAAGAAAAGGTAACATTTAGAGCTTAACAAGACCTTTTTCACTTGGAGAAACAGATACTGTTGTCTCGGCTTAACTTACTTCCAGTACATCAATGATCGCAGGCATGTTTTGGAATTCAGGCTTTTCATCATTTGCATCCATTACAAATATTGTCACTCTTTCCACAACCTAAAAGCAAGAACCGACAGTAGGATGAAACCACAAAGCATGTTGAAGTTTAGTATTTTGACTTTTTTTTTTAAAAGGAGCTAAAGATACCTTGCTTTGCCCATCAGTGATGCTGACAAGAACATCAATAGAGTCTTGTTTCTAAGTAAATAATAGTAGTAGGTTAATACAGCAACCAAGTTGTTATAAAAACACTGAATTGTCGATCTGTACATCTTTGTAAAGTTTACCTCTCTGTCCAGCTTTTCTACTAATGTAATGTTTCCAGATTTGGGGTCGACCCTGAAGTACTCTTTGGACCCTGGATCAAAGGAAAGGCCGTACCTCACCTCTTGGCCTTCAGGATCTGTGCCATTAAGACGATAAATTTGTGTACCTATAGAGAGATATCATTATTAAGAGTAAATATCCCCTCACAGAAACAAATTGTGGAAAGGTACACAGTTTCTAACCATTTACTATGAGGTGTACGTTTCTTTTGGTAACAACTGCTGTGGAACAAACCAGGCTGAAACACTAAGTACCATTTGGAGTATCCAGACTGATGCAAGGTGTAGAGGGACAGCTGCACTGCATTCGCAGCCAGCAAACTGTCCCTGACATCAACAGGTGGCAGCAGCAGATGAGCATGTTAGTGTGAGTGCATACACGCCACACAACATCTGTTCATCTATCAAAGACTACTTAACATCCTGGACTCTCACATATTGGCCACCACAACACACCATTTTGATGATTGGTTGTTCTACAGTCCTATTAGCTGTTCACACTAAATGTTCCCCAGTACAGAGGTCAGTCTCACCAACAGCAGTGTCCTCTGAGAGGCTGAACAAGGCCAGGTTTCCATTGTAACTGTAGGGTCCATTGTCGTAGAAATATGGAGCAAAATCTGCTTGTGCTGCCGGCAGACACATAAATCAGAGAAAAGAATATTTAAATGTCACAGGTTTATTTGGCATAATCTTTGAAAGAAGAAATTGTGCTCCCTGAACTATCGGTGAGTGGAGGCAATAAAGCACAACCTTAATCTATGACTGAATCAGTCTACTGAGTGTTTTGTACACATACTACTGATATGAATTTGTAATTTTAACTGGTTTTCTCTCTATAAATGCTAAAATGGCAGAAGAAATGCTATGTAAACTGTATACACAACCTCCTCTTTCTTTGCACTTTGTCTGGGATTAAAGGTGCATACATCAACCTCCTAAAATACTCTTTCTATACATAGACCTGCGATCTCTGCTGCTTTTACCTGTAATACGATTCCCGTTATTTAAAACAGTTTTAACCTACTATTGCATATCAGCTTTAAAACTAATTTCATAAAACAAGCAAATAATTTTGTGTATCTTAAAAAAATACTTATATTTCCATTTGGAAAACCCAGGACATAAATAAACTGAAAACTGAGCGGAGGTTCTTTATAACAGTGACAGAATTACAAAATTAATACATAAAATAGCCCAGAGTCTGAATATCATTCACAATCTGATCGCATTAGGATTAGTAAACAGTAAACAGACAAACAATAAGGTAAACTTACCAAAGCAGGCATGCACAAACACAAACAGTAGTAGCAAATGTGGTATCCTTACATGCTTCATCCTAAAGAATAAAGTCATGAAATCGCACCATGAAGACGGCTTCGTCAAGAGACCTCTACATGAGCTACACTTCTCAAGGTGTTCTCTGGCAACTGGAGAAGGCTAAACGCAGATGCTCACATACTAATCCAATGACACATCTTAAGAGCTGATTCAGGGCCCCCGTAGTCTCCAACTGGGCCTTAGCAACCAAAAGGCCAAAGGAGATGACTCTGTCTGCAAAAGCTGTACGTCTACAACTTTGCAGTAGATGTACAGCTATATTCTTCACATTTTCAACTTTTAATGTAAATTGTGTTATTACTAGCCAGAAATATACAGAAATCTGTTTTATTCTGATGTTGTCTAAATGATAATTCATAAAAGTGAAGTTATTATCGCACTTTTTACAATCACTGGTCACAGTGAAACATAACGATCAGGATGTTAATTTTGTTTTTTAGTTTTAAAGCTTTGATTTATGATCTGCTCTGAATGACCGCAGTCTCAGCTATGTAACCCCCCCCGTACTAAGTATAATGACCATTTTACATAAAATATTGTGACCAACTATGTTTGATGTAAATTCTATACTGTAACTGTAGTCAGTGATTTGTTTATATTGGACAAGGGTACCATCTGCCATGCAGACTTTACAACAATATGTTTCAGTAACATAAAAAACCCTCACTACCTATGCAAGTAGCTTTTATGTTGAACTTTTATAACTAAAAACATCACATGTAGTACTAAAGCGGGCTAATCTTCTTGATTGATAATCTCATTTTCCAGCAGGTGGAAATCTCCTGTAAACAAATGTTATATAATACTTAGCCAGAGGTCCTCTTTTTACCAAGGTAGTTATTTTTTTTTACAAATATTTACAAACAAAACATAAATGTTTCCAAATTTGATAGTTTTAAATTCATTTTTTCACTAATCCAAATAGTCAGTCAACATCACTTAAAGTGACTCAAATAATCTAATAATTCTTTCTCAGTTCTCTAGAGTGCAGTAATGTTTAAAAATCCAAGTAAAGACCTCAAACTCGCTGTCTCTATCCTGCTGAAAGAGGCCTAATATAATGTACGAGGGTGTACATGGTCTGCAATGGGGCTTAAGTAGGTGGTACATGTGAATGTAATGTCAACATGGATGGCAGGAGCCCAAATCATCACACTGTCTACTAGTTTACCTTATTCCTGGTGCCAGGTGTTCTCCAGGTAAGTGATTTACACACAGTGGGCAATCCACGTGATGTAAAGGAAAACATGATTTCTCAAACCAGGCCACCTTCTTCCATTATCGTGGCAAGTTCTCATGGTGAAGTGTCCATCGTTGATGCTTTTGGTGGTGGACAGGGGCCACTACAGGGGCCTCACTAGTCTGCAGGTATATATACACAAAAAACCGTATTGCACTGTGTATTCTGACACTTTTCTATCAGAACCAGCATGAAATTTTTTTGCATTTTGAATACAGTAGCTCATCTGTTGGATCGGACCACACAGCCCAGACTTCACATGGCTGCCCATGACCCTGTTGCTCTTTCACCACTGCAATAGATATTGACCACTGCAGACTAGGAACACCCTGCAAGAGATGTAGTTTTCAACATGGTCGGACCCAATCATCCAGCCATCAAACTCAAATCCTTACACTTGCCCATTTTTCCTGCTTGTAGCACATCAACTTTTAGGACAAAATGTTCTGTTGCTCCTTAATATGGGATGGAACAGTATCCCTAACAAGCGAAGAGATAGTCAGTGTTATGCCTGATGTGTGTTTATAGATAGCCTTTTATATCCACATTTCTATTGCATAGCTATCTACTATCTACTTTATAAGCTCAAATTGCAGACCAAAAAACAAGAAGGAAAAAAAATCCCATTTGTTTTTCATTGGCAGATGTTATATGTTTCTTCCCCACTTGGAAAAATAGGTCAAGTATACAAATGCATTGTTTAATTTCTATGCATACCATTAAAACACTTTGCATGAAAGAGGATTTACACACGTGAATAAAGCATTTCAGCATCCAGTCTCGTGCTGATATTAAATCTACTATATATAATCTGAGCTTTTGTCCTAGAACTTATAGTGGATAACATGTTCTAAGTGTGTGCGTAATTCACGAATGTTTTCACTCAGAAAAACACAACACACAGATGCAGAACATCAGGAGCATCAGTACAGTTTAATATCACTGACCTCTGACAGCAGTTAAATTCTCAGCATATATGATGAAAGCTTTCAGACTGGGCATGTAAATATCCAGCATTCAAAGAGATCAATCATTTTCATGCCTTTTGTAACTCTTACACAATATACTTACTGAAAATGGTCACATGTCAAGTTACTTCTGTGTTGGTACTTAGGGTCATGCCTCCAGCTTTAATTTTTGTAATACTGACGGATGGCATGCATTAAACCACTGTTCTCTAATCTGTACACATGTGATGCATGGAGCCTAACTCTGGTAATATAAACTACATCAGATGTAAATATGAAGCACAGTTAGCACTTACATTGTGGTTGTAAAAAAGCCCAACTGAGTTATGGCACGTAACATTATGTAGGTTCAAAAACAAGTACTTTATATGTGTGCTTATATTTAATAATAGTCATATGAATGCTATGAAGGTTTTTATATCTTCCCAATGATGAGTGTAAAAAGTATGGCTAAAAGTTCACTGTTTTATAGTTTCTAGTATTGTGATTTCAATTATTGTGACATATGTGATAAGCTTCTGATTGTTGGTGACAGACCATAAGGATGCCCAAAGGAATTTTAGGGCCATGCCTAATCACTAAGACTAAACCTGCCTCAGTGTAACCTGAACCATTTGTACTAGCTGCCAACAAATGACAATGATAAGCTTCCAGATGGGTCACATTTGTCATACCACATTTTTGAATGGGTTTGTGTTAACATAAAAGATTTAGCATCAAGATGAAACCATAAAAAAGATACATTTAAGGAATAAAGAGCAGCAGAAGACGAACATGTTGTATCACAAAACAATCAGGGAAGCAAACACAGCAAGAGAGTTCTTTCCAAAATAAAGGTCAAACATGGATTCAATCACTTATAGCTTCTGAATATGTGTAAAACACCTGCATGAAGAATCGTTCAAACCAAGTATTAAAAAGGGGAAGCTCTTCAAGTTTCATTATTTCTCCATAAAGTGTTACAGTTACACTGGATTTTTCCTTTCACATATTGCAGCTACTGTCTAGTGACAAAAAATAAACCCTAAATTATAAAATGCCAAATGAAAACACTGATTATTTATTTACACAAAAGAAAGTAAGCAAACTAAAACTGTAGCCGACTATTTTACAAAATTAAAATGATAGCTGAAGCATTTAAATACATTTTATTTCAGATTCCATGTAATGATGATCATATGACTGAATGTTTCTGCCATGAACATTTCAGCTTGTTGTACAGGATTAGAGTACATAGCTCATATTTAGAACACGTTTTTGGCCATTTATCAAGATGCGATGTTGACAGAGAGAGCTACATGTAGAATTAGTTTGGCTCTGTTTCTGTACATGTCTCTGAAACGTGAGAGTCTGGAAAAAGGACTAGTGAACATGTAGATATGTTTATCACTAAGACGAAGAATATTTTGGATTAATCTTGTTGGGTTTGAAAGAATCTCAAGCATACCAAAGATACACTCAAATCATATATTTTTATTCCCTGAAAACAAACTTGTGGGTTTATACGGTATCTGGAGAGCTTGATATGTTTAACATAAATTGATAAAATTCCAGTTAAAACAAGCTGCCCTTTCCCCCCTGCTTAAAAAAAATAAATGAAAGGAAAGTCATGTATTTACCTGGGCGGAAAAGGAGATTTACCAAAAATAGAAAGGGAAACTTTGAATAAACTGAACAGTACTTGTATCACTACAAGAGCACCTGTTCTCAAGCTCCCCACTTCAGCTTTGGCCCTTTGGATTATTATTGATAATCTCTAGTGTGGTTTGCCAAGGCCAAAGGTTTGCTTTCAGTCCTGGTCCACTCTAAAACTGGGTCATGCCTTTAATCTCTCCATCTACAGTATACTGTAGGTTAGCAGCCTTTCATTTTCATAAACTGCAGAATGAATACACGGCACATTTTTTTCTGCTGGAGTAACTGTGGACTAAAATGATCATTAGCATCTGCACAATAAGCAGTTTATATATAATCTATTAACATTTTATTTCCATATTATGGATGAGTCCTGACTACATTAAAAATAAATAAATAAAAGAATTTTTAAATTAAAATGAGGGTTTAGCAGTGAAAAAATATCTAGGAAAACAGCATCAGTAAAAAAAAAAAAAAGTAGTATTCACAACAGTATTAAACTAAAACCTAAAGTAATGTTAATATATGCAGAAAAATGCACAAAATATGGGTATGGTGTGCTTACCTAGTTTGTTGTTTTCAGGGAATGAAAGTATATGATTCTTTGGTATGCTTGAGATCCTTTTAAACCCAAAATGTTTAATGAGGATAACAATGCAATCTGACAAAAAAAAATCACAATGAATTAAACACTTTAAGCCCTGACAGGAGCCTACGGAGGAGTTCAAACTAAGCATTTGCTCTCTGATGCACTGCTCCATACTCTGCTTTTACTTTGCTGCCCCCAAGTGGTACAAATCAGATGGTAAACACTACATGTAAAAATAAACAGGTTTGTTTATTTGGCGTGCGTTTGCTTGGATACAGTTTAGAGACAAGACAAAACAAAAACAAAACAAAACACAAGCATCTATCTCAAACAGCGGGTCAACTGTAGTAGTGAGTATCCAGCTGTTATATACTTATACAACCACATCTGTAGATGTGTTCTGGACCTTTTTGCCAGCATACACGTAACAATAATAAGAATAGCAATGTTTACCAGCACCCCACAGACAATGTGAAAGTACATTGTACACAGTACTGCATTATGATTCCATGCAAGTTCTTTGAAAATCGACCGGCTCTGTGAAATTGAGGCAATACTAACTAAATACACACACCTGCTTTTGTGACATGCTTGAATAACAGGAAATAAATAGCTTATGAAAGCTACAGCATCTGCAAAAAGCCTTTTTTGCTGTGCTCTGTTGTTTCTTGCAGTGTAAAGGTCAGCACTGCTCTTCAAAGTAGCAAGATAGGATGCTAATAAAACGAGCTGCTTAACCTACCCTTACCAAATATAGCTATACAGTAATCAAACCAGTGCAGCAGGATATACACAGGAGTACATCTGCAAAGTCTCACCTGTAAGAAATGAATTATTTTACACTGCAACAATCGAAAGCAAAGAGTGCTTTCTCGTTTTTCTTTGTTTGAATTATTTTCTTGTGGCAGAAGAATAGGCTCAGCTCATTCATTGGGAGTGACTGGGACAAGGACAAGATTAGAAATGAATATATCACAGGGACAGTTCAGGTTGAGTGGTATGAAGACAAAGAGAAGGAATGCTGTGATGGTTTGGACATGTACAGAGAAGGGATAAAGGATACGTTGGACAAAGGATGTTAAAAATGGAGCTGCAAGGCAGGAGGAAATGAGGAAGACCACAGAGAAGATTCATGCATACTGAAGGAGGACATGAAGGAGACTGGTGTCACAGAGGAGGGTAAGATCGGGTGAAATGGTGGCAGATGATCCGGTGTGGTGAGCAGCTTAGTCATGTCATGACCACATTGACTGCAACTTAAAGACAAACATCAACAAAGTACATTTATTTATACATTCAATTTTTTAGGAGCTATTTCAGTACACAATAAGTTTTACTATAGCCCACTTTAGCATGAATGATTCGCGCAGCGCCACGAGGCTTTACCTCTGACAGGAGGTTATTTTAATAGGAAAGGTTCGTTGGAATCACGTGACCTTGCCAACCAACACAGGCTGTCCGGGCGAGAGTTAGGGGTGCTGTGAAGCGTGGCCAGCTCGCTCTTCGTGTCGTGGTGTCCAGCACGAGAGAAAAGTTGGAGAAAAAGTTTTGTAAGAGGCAATACTACGCTTTAACTAGATTTAGGCAACACCGTGCTTAATTACTTTTATGCCGTTTATCGTTTCCTCTCTTTTTGCTTTACTTTTTTAAATCAGTCAGATTTAATTTTAAAAAAGGATATATATACATATGCTTTCGCACTGGTCACTCTTTTTAGTCTTCGTATATCAATGTTAATGTACGAAGCCTCTGTGCTACATCTGGTGGAGGAGAGCAGCCCGAAACCGGGGATAGTACAATGAAGCCGTGCGTCCATCTCCGAGACAAAGCAGCAGGATGCTACGAAAGGACGGTATTTCTCACTAATCAGGGACATTTCACTTGAACTCACCAAGAGGCCAAACAAAGGTTTGTAAGACACACCATCTGAACATCCCCGCTTCTCATTTTAGTGGCTGCAAATCGCGAAATGGTTAAACAGCGCATATGCAGAGCCGTCGAATCGCACGGGCTTGTAAACATCCTCTTCCTTTTGCTAAAAAGGATGTTGAATTGAGTTTGCTAACCTATTGTTTCAACCTCAAATGCGCGGTTTGTTTTCTGTGATAACAGCAGAAATATGCTGCAATATGCTGCATTTCCGTTTAACCCACTTTCCATTACACATATCAATTTCTTATTTAAATAAATCGAATATATGAAGGAATAATGCTTTGATTCCTGCTCATTATATACTGTATTAATACTGTGCAGAAGTATGCAGTAGTCTGTATTTATTCTGGATCAGTAGATGGTACAAATTACACTGAATTAAAATCCCCCTCCCCCATGAACGACTGCCAGTGCCATAGTGTTGAGCACACCACACATCGAGGGGTGCAAGTGTGAAACAGTGAAATTAAAGTCAGTCAGTTACATAGAAATAATAACACCTGTGCAAACTATAATGGCTCTCAGTATTTGCCTATAGCACCTTATTGTTTACACTTGCACTCCTGCAGGAACAGCAAATCTTTCAGTGAGACTTTTTGGCTTTTAACATCTCCATGAGATGCTGCTCGGAGGCTTTGAAGGCAGCCATTAATGTAATTTGTAGTGAGATGATAAACAGAGTGATGTGTGTTTCTGCCTGAGCAGATAGTCAGATTTGCCAAACGCTCCAGTGACTCTTGAATATGTAAAAGTGCTCATCTCAAGCGCTTCAGCCTGACAGTTTGACGGCTTTGCCGTATTAAACTAAGATAATTGGGGGATATTTACTCACGGAGCACACAATCATTTCACAAACTACTTGAAAATTGTATTTTTTCCTTTAATTATATGCTTTGTAGAAATTATTCACTCTCCTGACAGGACCAAATGGCATGTGCGTGTGTGTCTACATTTCTTTCTCAGCAACACGGAAACGGCATTATTCAGAGTTAAGAAATTTGTTGTGCTGAATGATTTCAATTAAAATTCATTGTCAATATGGTTAACTTGTTTTCAGAGGAGCACTATGACACCAGTGTGGTATGTCTTCCTAACTGGTTTTCCTTGTTATCCATGCCAGCACAGCTCAATATTCCCAAAGCATGGAAGGATTACTACCTTAGCTAATGACACTGAATAGAATTGGAAAATATCATGCTCCGACTTACCCAGCTGTCTATGCTGATAAATTTTAAAAAAAATATTGAGAGTTAGAATTGAAGATTACTGAACTGAAAACCTGCTGAGGCTTGTGTCTTAAAGGTTACTCCGCGGCATGGGAAAGCTTTTGGTTTCTACGAATGACATGCTGGTGATAAGATGATGATAAGATGACCCAATTCATCAACAGAGACAGTTATAATATGTGTAAAGCTCTACTCAGTTTCCCACGATGTCTTGTATTTGGCTTAATGCTGAATTAAGTGTTAAAGGACTACTTTGCAGTCAGACTGTTTTAGCCCCTGTACCTCCTGTTTTTGTCCCCCCCCCCCCTTTTTTTTTTTAGCCTTTATTTGACACTTGCAGAGTGAGACAGATTTGAACCCAGGCCTCGGCTGTAGGTCTCTGTTGCCTGTTCCAACATTTGTCTTTTAACTTATGCCATTCTCCAATCCTGGTGAAAACCAATAGTGTCATTTTCTGTTGCTCTAAGAAATAAGACAAACAAATTTGGAAAAGCTGTTGCTGTTGCACAAGCACCTCAATATAGTTGAAATGTCAGAGCAGCACAAATGCAACCACATATTGGTTAGAGATTAAAAATAGACTGGTTATGTTTCGGTTTGTCTTTAAGCACTAAGGAAGCTCTGTGACAAATACCACAAGAACTAAGATCCTATTTTTATTTGTCTTTTTTTTTCTTTCTTTAGAATGAAGCCTCTGCATGACAAGCTATGACCCAAAGAACAGCACTGTAGAGCTCACATTGCAAAGGGAAGACTTAAGAATGAAGACCAAGTATGCAATCGTCTTTATCTGTATTGTGGCCCTGGTCATCATTGAAAAGGAAAGCAACATCCTCTCTAGGTAAGAGTATGGAGAAGAGTGTGTAATAATCTGCTAAATTTTATATTATATTTGTGCAAATCTGAGGAAAGCTAAAGGGATCTTGTACTTTTTGGGAGGTGTGTTTCCTTTCTTACCAATAAAAATACATATTAAGACCCAGCAGTCTACCTTAGCTTAGCTTGCCTTGATGTAAAGACTTCAGATGTGGCGTTGCCCTGCCCAGATGTGCTTGCCAAGATGTTTCTATGCTTCAGATGAATGCACCTTCTTGATTTAACAATCATAAGAACAATAATCTTAACCCTAAAGCAGCATAAAGCCGGGGAGGATATAATTCTCAGGTGTGAGTTGTCTCACAGGGAGAGTTTCAAGCCTTTATCATATTAAGCTTTTGTTTCCATGCTGAAGGTTTTTTTGAGAAAACTGTGTTAAGATAATTATGAAAAGATAGATAAGATAGATAAGAAACCCTATCTAAAAAAGATAAAATGGTACAGTGTCAAGATGTGTAGAGAGTAAGGAGCCAAAAGCAGGACTCAAGGTTGTCAAAATAAAAAAAATGAAACATTTTTTAGGTCAAAGGGAAGAAAACTGAATTCAAACAGGGATCACGCCAGAGTAGATGCAGGGACACTTTCAGCTGGATCTGAGGCTTGCCAAGAAAATGTATTAGCCACTTCACTGTGAAGGCACAGTGAAGTGGACAAATAGACAGAAATATAAAGATATACAGCGCTTAAGATATACACCGTAAGCGCTGGTAGGCCAGAGGAGGCAGACTTGAGGACAAGACACTGCTGAACATAATTAACTCAGATTGAATGTCGTGATGCATGCTCAATCATCCAGGTAAGTAAATTCCAAAAGGTTGAGTCTGTTCATCTGGACGTAGCGTTTTCAGTGGGAGAAACGTTTTGGCACTCATCCAAGTGACTTCTTTAGTCTCAGCGGACTGCAGGTTTCCCCAACCTTATAAACAATATGTTTGCACAATGACTGAAACCAGCACCACTGACGAACAGTGGGCTGTGAGGTTAGTTCATTGATCATTAATATGCAAACTGTCATGACCATTGATCAACAACCCCATTGATCAGTGGCCATTGATCAATGGCCATGAGTACCATTCACAGATAGTTGGGGAATGGCTGCAATCACAGCATTGTAAGATGGTGAAAGATCTATCCTTAGGCCGCCTCCTCGATTCAGAGATGGTCTTCTCTGAATCGGTCATCTATGAATCAAGTTGGGGGCTAAAGGGTAGATCTTTAGGTAGGTTTGCTTGGTTTAGCAGTTGTAAATATTTTGTGTTATTGTACTGTTGTGTGTTTTAGTCATGTTTTTGTGAAGGAAATTTATAATTTCTTTTGTTTTAATTTGTTATGTACTTTTATTTTGAAAGGACTGGGTTGTAGTTGTACCATGCTTTGGAAGGTGGCCTCATGTGTCAGTGTCACTGATAACTGATCGGGGTTCTGCCTTCCTGTAGGCTATATACAGATATATATCTTTTTACCTTATAAAAATCCTCTGTGCCTCAAAAGTGCTTTCACCCTTGCTGGTTGTTTTAGTTATAACTCAGACATAAATGCAACTATCAGCTAAATAAAATATATAAAAAAAAGAATAAAATGTAACACCTTATGGTTTGCCAATGGATATTTTATAATGAAGTCTATTTATCTTGTCAGGGTCTCTGACAGATTGATCCAGAGGCAGATTCCGCAGCAGCAGGATTTCAGCAACATAACACAAAAGGGCTCCCTGATGGCACTCAAAATGCTGCTGTCGCGACTCTCTGGTACAAAGAGGGATAACTCAAATTTCTCAGAGGAAGAAGAGGAGGAAGAACTGGATGATTCGGGGACATACAGCTACGCCGGTGGCCGTAAGCACGTATTACTCTTGGCCACCACACGGACAGGTTCCTCATTTGTGGGGGAATTTTTTAACCAGCACGGGGAGAACATGTTCTATCTGTTTGAGCCACTGTGGCATGTCGAGCGCATGCTGACCCCGGCTGCAGAGGCAAACAATGGGACAGTGTTGTCGGGAATTTACCGAGATGTACTCCAGAGGCTTTTCCTGTGTGATTTCTCACCTCTTGAGAAGTTCATCTCTCCCCCACCTCAGGACCATGTCACCCCATCTCTTTTCCGCAGAGAGTCTAGTTTATCACTCTGTGAAGAACGGGTCTGCAGTCCTGTAATCAGAGATGTTTTTGAGAGGTATTGTATAAGTTACAAATCCCTGTGCTGCTAATCAAGCCTGTAATCTTTATTTATGCAGCTGCAAAAGGAAGGCCTGATGGTCATGACACTACTTTAACACTAAGCTATTGTCTGTGTGCCTTATTAATAATATTCCCAATGTTCTTCTGCATGACAACAGAGAAAAAATATTAATTTAGTATATGCATGAAATATTAATATTCCCACTATTCAGTTTTGTAAAATGCTTTTTATCATTTAAAAACGTTATGGTCTTGTTTTAGGTATCACTGTAAGAGTCGTCGCTGTGGGCCACTGAACCTAACTCTTGCATCTGAATCCTGCCTTTCCAAACAACACCATGCCATTAAGACTGTTCGTGTGCATCAGCTGGACACACTGCAGCCTTTGGTAGAGGACCCTCGCTTGGATATCAAAGTTATCCAGCTAGTTCGAGATCCAAGAGCTATCTTGGCATCGCGCATGGTGGCGTTCTCTTCAAAATATCACACGTGGAAGGCCTGGGCGCAGAACGGCCAGGTGCCCGAAGATGATGAGGAGGTGAAGAGGCTCAAAGGAAACTGTGATCACATTAGGATGTCTGCAGAGGTTGGACTGAGCCAACCTCACTGGCTCAGGAACCGCTACATGCTGGTCCGCTATGAGGATATCGCCCTCTACCCTATGCAAAAGGCAGAGGAGATGTACAAGTTTGCAGGGATACCATTTAGTTCCCTGGCCAGGGAGTGGATACTGAGGAACACCCAGACCACACAGAAAGCCAGCGGGATTTACTCCACTCAGAAGAACTCATCAGAGCAGGCAGAGAAATGGAGATTTACAATTCCCTTTACATTGGCTCAGGTAGTTCAGAGAGTGTGTGGACCCACCATGAAGCTGTTCGGGTACAGATTTGTGAATGATGAAATGACACTGACCAACAAGTCCATTAGTTTGCTTGAGGATAGATTATTTAATTAATCAGGAGGTCAACATACAGCTGTGAAACTGCACAATACTGCATGGCATGCAGTGCATGTGAGCCAGCAGAAGCCATTACTGTTCAGATCAAAACTGTTAAACAAAGGTGCCATAAAAATACAAACAAAGGTGCCTCACATACAGTAAGATGCTCGCCAATGATGTGCCTCATTGAAATAATGAAAAACTACTTGATAAAGGGAAGTATTTATTTGCATACTGTGTTCACTGAGTAGCCTGAAGATTAAACTTTGTTTCATTCTCTTTATTTCATTTAGAAATGAAACAAGCATTGATATCAAGGCCAAATGTGACAGATTATTGTGTAGGATTTTTGTTAAATCTTCATGGTTGAATTTCATGTTACAAACTTAAAGTGAAAGTTATGTGCATATGTTATCTAAGGGAAATTTTGTCTTAGAGGATCCTAAGACCTTTTCTTAATAACACCCAGTTTGGCTGGTTTCATGTTTTTATACATCAGCATTAGTCTAGGCATTTGCTAGAGTTATGTTCGAGTAGACATGATGTGCTGTGATAGAGTTTTACAAATCTTACTCAGGAAAAGTATGTTGTGTCTCGATGACAAGCATTGATATTTTCTCAACAGTGTGCCGTGTAAGAGAATAGGTTCTTCTTTTGAAAACTCTGAGATTAGAGAAGATAAATTAAGATTTATTTATCAATTTAAAGATGATATATGAGAAGTAGTAACACTCATATATCTATATGAAATATCTACTCAACTATTTTTTTTTTGTTTTGTTTTTTTTTAAATTTCTAGCCAGCAGCCTTAACTGCATCTGTATTAAAGTATTTCTCACTTCTCTAAACGTCCAAGTAGGTTTTGTTTAATTTTGTTGCTTGCGTGAGAGCTGATCTGTTCTTATGTTGGTCATTAAATGTAAGGTTTTTTTGTTTTCTTTTAAATCACACAACAACTCAAAGTAATAAAATCACCCAAAAATATTAAGACCTGCAGAATCCACCCTGTAAAGATGTGTTGTGTTTTGATATGACCTGTGTAGGTTCACTCACTGGCCAATTCATTTGGTACACTTGTTCAGCTGCTTGTTAACACAAATATCTAATCGACCATTCACATGGCAGCAACTTGATGCATTTAGTTATGTATGCTGAAGTTCAAATTGAGCATCTGAATGGGGAAGAACGGTGATTTAAGTGACTTTCATGCTGTTGGTGCCGATATGCTGGTCTAAGTATTTCAGAAACTGATCTGGGATTTTTCCAATAACCATCTCTAGGGTTGAGGGGAAATGATCTGAAAAAGAGAAAATATCCAGTAAGCTGCAGTTCTCTGGAAGAAAATTCCTTGTTGATGCCAGAGGCCAGAGGGGAATGGCTGACAGGCAGATAGGAAAGCAGTAGTAACTCAAACACTCATTGAAGCCAAGCTATGCAGAAGAGCATGTGGAAAACCCATCGAATCTTTAAGCAGATGGGTCAAAACAGTGGAAAACCACATCTGATGCCAATCCTGTCAGCTACAAACAGGAAACTCGGGCTATGGGGCAAAAAATATTTTAAAATGATGTTATCTGATCTTATGAATCTAAATTTGTGCTGTGACATTTGGGTGGTAGGGTCAGAATTTGGCATAAACAACCTGAAAGCATAAATTCATTCTGCCTCATGTCAATGGGTCAGCCTGGTGGTGGCAGTTTAATGGTGTGGGGGATAGTGTTTTAGCATGCTTTAGACCTGTTAGTACCAGCTGAGTATTGTTTAAACACCACAGGCTTCCTTGAATATTGTTGCTGATCACGAGCATTATTGATAACCATCTTCCATGTGTCCATCCTCTGATGGCTGTTTCCAGCACAGAAGGACCATGTAATAAAGTTCAAATCATCTTAAAACTGGTTTCTTTAACATGTCACTGTCCTCAAATGGCTTCTAAAGCCACCAGATTTCAATCCACTGCTTTTGGTATGCTGTGGAATGTGAGAGTCACATCACAGATGTGAAATCTGCAACAACTATGAGATGCTATCAGTGCAATATGAATCATAATTTCTGAGGAATGCTTTCAGCATCCGGTTGAATCTATAACACATTGAACTAAAGCAGTTTCAAGTAGAGCTGTGCGATATGACCAAAATCTCATATCCCAATATAAGAATTCTATCGTCCCAATAACGATATAAATCACAAAAATGTAACATTTTCTGTAAATTCTGTGACTCTCGGGCAGCTTGACTTGCGTGAAGTGTTTCCAGCTGCGCGTCGCGTACCGGGAGTCGAGTGTTTTAACTGATGCATGAAATGATACATTTTTAGACATAAGTTGTAACGGCCGCCGTTTTCTTTGTGAGTATTTATTACACAACGTGCTGCGGGGAAAAGCCTGTTCTAACGTTTGAGTCTAAGGTTTGTTTGTTTTTTAGCACCTGGCGACTCTTTTTTACTTCTCATCCGTAAATAATCTGCTCTTTCACGTGATTCAGTTTTGAAAAGTCTTAACAGGATCTTGAGCTTTATTGTGAAAGGTTTATGTGGAACATAAACAAGCGGACACGCGATGGCATTACCGTCGTTGTTGCTAACGACAGGCGCTTGTCCGTCTGTAGTGTGGTTATAGTAAATATAAGAAAAAGAGAGAACTTTAAGAAATGAATATAGCCACTACAGTGACCATCAAAACGATGAAAAAATATTGCCGTAAACAGTTTATTTTGTGACACCACGAAACAAACGATAGCATAAATTGAAACGATAGACGTTTTTATATCGTCATCCGATATATATCGTTATATCGAACAGCTCTAGTTTCAAGTAATAGCAAGATATACCTAATGAAGTGGCTGATGAGTGTATACAGCCTATGACTTTAAGTGAAACCCAGGTGGTGCTGGCTTGACTGTCAGTCTTGATAAAATATGAAGTTAAGCACTGTGACTTCAGATAAATGGCAATATTGTGCTCAGTTTCACTGTGGCTTCATTGAAGCAGCTGTGAAAGGCATATGTTTCAGAATTTCACGGAGCTTCACTTACCTTCATTTTAAAAACATATGAATTCATATATATGTGTGACATACTGAAGCCAGAACAACCAATTTTGTAGCTCAAACAGTGGGTGTAGTCACAGTGCAACAGAGTATGCATTTAACTAATGCAGCTATTCGGAGTGGGAATACATGCAGTTCCTTTTTTTTGGTGGGGAGGAATACAGATGTGCAGTTTCTCCCTGTTTATGGATGATTGCAAAAAGGTTAATAAGGAACAGAGGCTATTGCCAACATAACTTCAAAGTTTTTGTTGTGGCAAAAAAAACAAAGAAAATCAGAAAAAGTTTGAGTCTAAGTCAATTCACCAAAGGAAATCTGTTCTTAAGCCTTACTTTGGCTAATTTAGTTAGTTGCACATTTTAGTTCTTTGAATACTGAAATACTAAAATTGTTCTTTTTTACAGCTCAGATGTAGTTCTTTCAAATGCACAGTCTGCCATTGAAGTGCTAATTTAAAGGGGCATATAAATATTTGAATTTCAAGAAATGATTTGGTTCTCAGGGGAATCAGGTATTAAGTTGGCATTTTTGTAAATTAAATCTGACTTAAGCACAAACCTCTGGTTATCAGCAATGTAACAAAGTAAAATAACGTCTGCGTTCTATTTAGATACATTTTACTGAATTAACCGAACAGTGGAAAACTTGACAAACCTTGACTTGACAGAACCATAGAGCAGTAAGTTGTACAGAATGCAATTGGTAAGCAAACACTGGCACTATGTTTACTATAGTCATTGCTTTGATATCCAACTATCCGATCAGCTTATTTTGCTTGGAATGGAAGCAGTTTGAGAATGAAATGGCCAAAATGCAAATTCATGTGGAATTGTTGATGTAGTTCAGCTGCATATTAAAATACACACTGCTGTTGCCTGTGATCCTCTAAAGGCTTAGTGTGAGTAAAGCAGAAACAGGGAACCCATTCAGGCCTGCATTCCGTCTATCTGCCTCACATCTCAACTGAGAGAGAGCACTTTAGAGTGCACAGCTGTTGGTCAAGCTGATTTTCTCCCAGATCATTTCCCTGATGTTATTTCCACAGCAGAGCAGCAGCTGTTTCTTCCCTGCAAATGAGAAAAGGTTTCCACAATGGGTCATTGAAGAGTTGAACCTGGCAATGTGTCAGGTTTTCTCAAGGTATCCAGTGTTTTTGACCAGAACTCAGACCAACTTAGTTACACTCACTGAGCTGAAATACAACCTTGTCTTTTCACTTTGCCATGTGTTTATAATTGCTAATATTTTGAAAGTTTTCCTGACTTTGGTTTCAAGTGTTTTTAACTGACACACTCGACTTGTTGGGCCTGGTTTAAGCCCCTGGCTATCACTCAGGTCTTAGATTCACTATTATGTTCAGAGGATGAATCACTGAACATGCACCATTCCCTCACAAGATGTGAGACGGTTTTCAGCCACCCATTTCCCATCTCGCAGATTTCACCATGAATCACCCACTCGAATCATGTTCATTCACATGGTTGCACTCACTCACTCACTCACTCACTCGGTGAAATGACCAAAATAATAAATAATTGAGTGATTTAAGTTATTGACTATAACTGAGTGCAAGTTCTGAAAATAAATGGATTGTTTCCAAAAGCAATTTGTTTGCTTGGTTTTGTCCACCTACCCTGGAAAGTTTACTCGTGGTTGTTGGTGCGACAACTGGAAACGAACACAGATTTGAGGAGGAGCAAGTAACTCATACTATAAGGCTGTATTTTGGGTTATTATTATTTTTATTATTATTTGGGTTATTATTGTTGATGATCTGGGATCTGAACTTCTGTTTGTAAAATTACACAATTAGGTTCTCTTAACTGTAATTTGCAATGCATTCAATCATATTGCTCAAAGTGAGCACAGAAAAGAAATTCTTTGGATTTCTTCAGCATTTGCATGTGGGGAAATGTTGAGATAGCAGGCCACATGCATTAATGGCATTAAATAAAATCATAAATATAATGTTTTGAATGTAAAAATATAAGCATTTTATGTTGTGTAATCGATACTGTTGACTATAATATTCTATAAGGAAAAATTTGAGCATGCTGCAGGTATTACAGGTACTGAACCGCAATGGTGTGTTCCATATCTATTTATTAGACTCCAATTTGTTCATATAAATGGCAAGTCCTTTTCACACACTAAGGTTATTTATGGACGTCGACAGGCTCTGTGCTATGACCAGTTCTGTTTGCATTATAGGTGTATCATTAGAAGGCATAGCATACATATTCACTGTTATTTATCTATCCATGAAGCCAGATAACAAACACAAATTAGTTAAACTGCAGGAATGTCTTAAAGATACAAAGACCTGGAGGACATCTAACGTCCTGCTTCTAAATTCAGATAAAACTGAAGTTATTGGCCCTAGAAATCTTGGAAATATGTTATCTAACCAGATACTTACTGTAGATGGCATTACCTTAACCTCCAGTAACACTGTGAGGAACCTTGGAGTCATTTTTGATCAGGATATGTCATTCAATGCACATATTAAACAAATATGTAGGACTGCGTTCTTCCATTTGCGCAACACCTTTAAAATTAGAAATATCCTGTCTAAGAATGACGCTGAAAAACTAGCTCATGCATTTATTACTTCTAGTGTGGACTACTGTAATTCATTATTATCAAGATGTCCTAAAAACTTCCTGAAAGGCCTTCAGTTAATCCAAAATGCTGCAGCAAGAGTCCTGACAGGGACTAGAAAGAGAGCCTTTCTCTCCTATATTGGCTTCCCTTCATTGGCTGTTAAATCCAGAGTTGATTTCAAAATGCTCCTCACATACAAGGTCTTGAATAATCAGGCCCCATCTTATCTTAATGACCTGACTCTTTTCCACAGCATGTCTTTTGTCTTGTCTTCCTCCCCTCCCCTCAACCGGTCATCGAGGTTGAGCCCTGAGCTCGGTTCAGCCGGAGGTTTCTTCCTGTTAAAAG